AGGCACTTTTCTTCATCGGTGCAACCGTTCATGGTCGCACTCTGGTTGAAGGAGTCCAGATGGATTTCCGGATCTTCCTTCCCGGTGAATCTGGGGGCGTCGATCTTGACCTTTCGCGGGAAAGGTGTCAGATGGACCCTTGCGGTGAACGGGGACCCTGCCAGGGGTTTGTCCCGGTCATTCTTCTCTCCGACCTTCTTTTCCAGCTTTTCCAGCTTTGCCTCCATCTGCTGGACGCGGTCGTTTGGGATGGTTAACCGGTTCGCCACCGGTAACCTAGGTTGGCTCTCTGCCTCCCCTTCCTGGTGGGAGGCCCTCGTCCTCGCTGGCTCCTGCCGGTTAGACCGGGAGCGCCGGGTGCGGGCAGGCTCGGCCTCCCGCACCTCGCCTAGCCGGGCGAATGCGCTGACATGGGCAACGCTCTGCCCCAGCCTCTGCTTGGCTGACTTCCTCTGGCCTTCCTCCCTATCCCCCAGCCTTTCGAAGGCGGAGTTTCGGGAGGTCGCTGGCCAGATGTTTTTTCCTTTCTTCTTCTTGTGGGCCCTCGGGATGTCCCACTCGCCGTCATCGCTCTCAATTGAGACGCAATGACCATCAGGAGTGATCTGCGGATCCGTAGCTTGCGGGGGACGCGACGGCCCTGCGGCGTTAAGTGTGCCGGTCAAGTTGACAGGGGCCATGGTGCTGACCAGCTGGGGCTGGAAAGGTGATGGCCGCGGCATCGGCGTCTGGAATGACGTCACCGCCATTGGAGCTTGTAGGGGCATGGTCCCCGCGCCTGGAAGGACGAATGGGAACATACCAGGGAAGAAAGGCATCCCCCCGTTCTGCTGGCACATGGCCATAACCTGGCCAAAGCCCTGGATGGCTTGCAGGTTGGCTGGGTCGTTCATGAACTGAGTCATGCTTGGTGGGAACGTGACCCTCGGTCCAGCGGAAGGGACGGGGGTCGCAAAGGGACTGATCACGCTGGCCGTCGGGACAGAGCTCAGGCCTAGAGGCAACACCGGGGCTGAAATGACCGGTATGGTAGCAGCCACAGGGATGCTGGCGCCCTCATTGGTGGCTTGCACCTGTGCGGAAGTAGCGTTGATTTGTTGGCTGGAAGACATTTCGAGTGGTGCTTTGGTGGGTAGGTTTGTGTTTAGGAGAAGAAACCTTAACGGTCCCACGGTCGGCGCCAAAAATGATGGTGTAAATTACTTGACCGGTCAGACTATACTAGACCGGGTCTAGAATAGCTTGCTTGATTTGGCAAAGTAAGAGAGGTAAAAACTCGTAGATTGACCGGTAGGATTTTAGGTGGAACACCTGTAACTCAATTATAACGGAGAATACACGGGTGCTTTTACAAGGGAGTTTAGAGAGAATGAATTCGGATCCCCTTTCTGAGGTTTACAAGGGGTATATATACTAAGCTGGGGGGACAGGTCCACGTGCGCCCACGTGGGGGCACGTTGCTGATGTGGTGCGAGATGACTGTCCCTGAGCCGCCTTTTCATCTTGCGAAGGGGATTTCCCTCCTTGTCACGTTCTGGCTTGGAAATATTCCTCCAGGATCTCTGCAATTCCAACCACTAAAGTCTAAGTCCTTTTGGACTCCTCTTTCCGACACTCCCCGATCTCTAAAAGTTGTACCGGTTGATTTCTGAAGGTTTGGATTAATTGTCTTCGGAATCGGTTCCTGCTGATGGAATAATCTGACCGGTATACTATCCGAAGTGTACCGGTCCACTTTTTGGTCACTCGGTGGTCCATTCAGATCTCTCTTCAAAATTTGACCTCTTTGACCGGTCAACTATCCGGTCCTGACCTTTGACCGGTCGTGGGTGAAATACACCCATCAATAGCGTTTGAAACGAAAAATTGCAGGAATTAAAAATTTAAGAGCGAAATTAAAAAAAGAGAAGACAACCCGATTTTACCCTGGTTCACCACAACGTCTAGCTACGCCCAGCCTCCCAAGAGACTCTCTCGAGTTACACTATCAGCGTTAAATTTAACGGTGCTTAACAAACCCGTACAACTTGATTGTTCGACGATAAAAACACGTACAACGAGTAGAACACTAACAACACTTTAAAAATATCACCAAAACCAAAACAATGAAACAAGAACTCCCGGTTGTAAAAAAAATGAAAATACATTAAAAAATAAAAGCAACAACAAACTAACAAATAGGCAGTACAAAAAAAACTAATGAAAATAGATACGGAACACGAAATTTGTACTAAGAAAAAAAACAACTACAAAAAAATCAAATAGAAAAACTAAACTATCTTCAACTAAAAATGATGAAAAAAAACTATGTCAACTAAAGAAAAGGAGAACTAAAGAAAAATACATTTGGAACAAAACAAAATATCATAAACACATATAAAGTCTAGACTAGAAAGAGAAAAACAAATTGAATAGGTAAAAACAATAATACCGGGCAACAAAATCAATTTGAAAAAAAAACATTTGCAAACAAACTAGAAAAAAGATAAAAATAATCAAATGAAAAAAAAGTCAATTATTCAAGAAAAAAACTCAGAAAAGTCTGGACACAGCAAAATAGAAAAAGTCTAACAGAAAATGAAACTACTGGAAAAAAATCTGTAAAAAATACTATAAGTCAGAAAACAAAAATTTAAAACTCAAATGCATTAAAGAAGCTTTTAATAGCTTGGAACAAAATGGAAAACATGGCAACAACACTTAAAAAACAAAAAAAAACCAGTAATGCAAAATATACCAATAAAAAAAATTGGCCACCAAAAATAAATACCAAACTAAAAAAAATTGAACGTAAAATTTAAAAAATGGAAAAGAAGAAGAGTCCAAAAAGGAAAACAAACAAACAGATAAAAAATCAGAAGATAAATTAAATAAAAATCCCTTAGAAGTGAGATTCAAAATGTTTAATGAAAAATATTCTAAAGTAAAAGTCACATTACAAAAGATACGGAAAAGAAATAGTTCTATTTACAAAAAAAACTTTTAAGTAAACAAATTCAAGAAAAAAAAACTTGTTTTAATAAAGGTTTACAAAACAATAATGTTTTCCAAATACTCTTAAGTGTTGGGTACAATTAGTGTTATTTGTGCTTTGCAAGTAATCACCCCACATCATAACATCTAGTTTTTCAGAAACTTGATTACTCTTTGAGAAATTATGTTGTTAGAGCTTAATGTGTTTATTTGGAAAATTAATTTATGATCAATGCTTAAACTAGTTTATATTGTGTTATTTTGACCTTGTGATTAGCTATTTAGTTTGCTTTGGAGTTTTGTTTTGAGTGATCACAAGTCTTTAAAAGTATAATATGGATTCTCTATATTGTACTGTCTTGAGTAGAATGACAAGTCTAGTCGAAGACATTATAAGAGGACAACTAATTTCTTGGAGGCAACCCAGAAAATTAAATTTTTATTTTTATGCATTTAATTCTTTTTATTTTTACTTGCATTTTGTTTGCCATGTGTGCTTACATATCATATCTAATGATGCCCTCCCCATCATCTTGCATATGTTTTATTATTCTTACATGTTCCATGTTAATTGTCTCATAAGTTCATCATTTTTATATCATTGACATGCATTGAGGACACTGCATGATTTAGGTGTGGGGGGACGCTTCTGCTTATGCATATTTTAGGAAAAAATTTTCTTTACAAGTTTTTATTTGAAATCACCACAACCACAGCACAGTATAAAAACCAAAGTCACACATACGTAGCACAAGAGACAGTCGATGAAAATTGTGTTGTAGCGCAACAGTTAAATCTCACAGAATGCTACAACACCTTTTCTAACACTGACTCATACACACACAGAAAGCAAGTAAAAACACAGAGATTTGTTTACGCAGTTTGGAGCCAACTCTCCTACGTCTGCGAGGCCCACATCCGTGTAATAGCTTTTCCACTAGATCATCATAAGAATTACACAATCAAACTGAACAGATCCTTCTATGGAATAGATTTGTCTACTTACGAGATCAGACACCAAACTCAGTTTGTGTCTAACTAGGCCTATTACACCTTCTCGTTGCTCTGCAATAAGGATGTGTTCTCGACCTTTGCTCAGCCTCTCACGATGCACAAGCTGAACAAACCTTCAGATAAGATCCATGGCTGATCTTCTCATTGTAATCTCACGTATGTGTATATGATACGCTCTTCTCTATGATAGATCAAGTCACCGTATGTTCTCTCTTTTCAGCCGAATATATTTCTTTTCGCACACCTCCTGTCATCTCGCCAACTTCTCTTTATATCGCTAGACACTCATGGGATGAAACCCTAACCTGTAGTCTGTAGAACTCTTGCACATCCACATTCGTTGAGTCCAGAGAGGAGTCTTTGATTCGGTGGATTACTTGACAGAACGAGACTCCTTTGTTGAGCTAATGACTCCCAATGTAGCGTCCTGGTCCAGGTTGCCATGCAGGATGACCAATAATTCTACCAACAAAATTCTACTATCATAAGGACACTACACTACAATCTACTAGTGGTTGTGTGTTGTCAAAAATAACGCCAACCCATATACTAAAGATTAAGGACCTAACATTATTCACATACTAGGTATGCATGCATTAGAAGAGCATGAATTGGGTAGGAAAAAAGGTATTTCATGTCAAACTAGCATTTTAGATGCAATGTGGTTATAAAAAAAATTAAAATTTTTAAAAGTTTTTAAAGAAAATAATAATCTTTCACATAAAAATCTATATAAGAAAAGAAGAATTTTAAGAAAAAAGTAGAAATCATAATAGTTTTATATCTTTTAGCACTCTTAAGTGTTGCATTTTTTGTATTAAATTGAAATTAATTTTGTAACAAATATGTTTGAATTTCTTTAAAAATGAGTTTGCTACTATAAACTTAATCATTTCTTTTACGTAAAATCTATTCGGAACTTATTTTTATTTAATTTCATACCTTTTAATTAGTTATGTTCAATGTCCTCAATTTATTTAGAAATACATAGAGTAGTTTACAAACTAATTCTTTTTGTCCTAAGTTTCTATTCAAGTAAAGTTAGTCTTTAGAAAATCTTTTTTCTTTTCTAAATTTTGGTTATATACATATTACCAAGATGCTGAAATAAATATAATATATATACTGGAATACCATCTTAGGTTGAAATGGGTGGCACGACACCTTTATCCCCTTAAGCAACGAATCCCAAAAGGAAGTGATGTTGTGTATGGAGAAAACCTATGTTGAAAGATCAAACCCCGTTCTGGGCCGTACAGATCTCGTCCATAACCAGTTTTGAGCACTCAAGTTGAAACCCTCGGAATACTTCGTTTATTTAGGTCCCGGGCTATCTGGAATGGGCCTAGGGTAGCCTGGTTGAGACTCCCTACATGGGCCAACTCAAAAAATTAAAATTAAATGATGAATCAGAGCAATAAATAAAAGTTTCCAAATTTTGGAAAAGAAAATAAATTTTCTTGAGCTTTTCTTTACTTGATTGTTTCTTAGGATTTCTAACAATTTTTTTGCTGCTCTATAGATTTCTTTTAAATTGTTCTCAATGGTCTTAATTAATTTAAAAGTTTTGATGTTAGATAAAAATAGTTTCTACTTAGCTTTGAAGTGAAAGAATTATTTTTAAATTTAAAGGAGCAAATTGATTTTTAAAGTGTTTATTCTATCTCGTACATGATTAATTTCTGATTAATGTTTCATGCAAAAGGAAAAGGTTTGATTTCTAAGTTTGAGATAGAGAAATTATTTTGAGTTCTAAGTTTGACAAAAGGAAAAGGTTTGATTTCAATCTCTAGTTTGTACGAGGACGTGCAAAAGTCTAAGTGTGGGGGTATTTGTTGAGTCACAAATGATCATATTTTATTCTCTTACTTCTTAGTATTTTTAATACAAATTATATGCATTTTATACCATAATAAACATATTTTGATATATTTGGCATTTTAGGCTATTGTTTACATTTTATACATAAAATGCATAAATTTAAGGGAGTTGATATTGACACTGCACATATGTTACCTACACTCCACATCTTTACTTTCTTTGAATAAGTTGACAACTTTGCCCTTTGTAATTGGTAAATATTGGTAAATCCTCCTTGATGCACTTCTAGTTCACGCCACTCAATTGTTTTGTAACTGTAAATTCTCAATGTAAATTCCTAAGCACGCTCACGGCCAATAATATTATAAAAATATCATATATAAATAATATAAAAATATAATATTAATTTTTCATATTCTTTTAGACTGAATATAAAAATAATGTCATTATTTTGTAAAACAATTAATAGAAGATAAAAAATATTAAAAACAGAAAAAAAAGGTTTGAAAAAATGAAGCAAATTATTTTGATAAAAAACAAGAAATTTTAAAAACATACTCCATCCAT